ATGGGGGGAGGGGAGTGGGGAGAGTCAGTAAAAATAGAAATTCCTTAGCATTCTAACCTGTTATTGTTTTTTTTGTTTCAAACTATAAAATTAAATATTAAAAAATAAAATATCATTGTCTACATCCAAATATCCACTAGAAGGCAAATACCAAGCAGAAAAATATGCAGAGAGTGGAAACAGGCAATTCACAAAATAGTAAAGTTAAAAAAGATAAGAAACAAACAGGAATTAATTTGTACTATTTTTTTTTTAATAACACGAAGTCAAAGAAACCAGAAACACTTGAGCCTTGGTATTAGAGAACAGTTTACAAAGACTGCAAGAAACCAATATATTGCACATTTAGAAAATTTTGAAATGAAGAGATACATTTATACACAAAGTTAGCAAAGCATTTACTGGAATATAATTATTTTATTCCCAGGAATGGCCTTTACGACACGTAATCCAGTTGCCTCATTGTATAATTGAAGAATTGGGAGCCTCTAACCATATAGTGGGTGTCTTCTCAGCCCATCCTGATGGGGCCATATGTCCCCAGTATGAATGGGGGGTACTACCTTATTTATTAATAGTAGCATCACTGGACTTTTTTCTTCTTAGATAACACAGCAACTGTTATTAACCCTAGTTCCTAAGTTAATCAGCTTTAGTTCTTTTGCATTGGAAACAGGTGCAGAGACTTGAGAGGATTCACCCAAGGTCACAACAGAGGGACATGCAAGTACTAGGGTTTGAGCCTGGTGTGTCTGACCTTGGAGACCATGTATTTAAAAAATCAGTTTCAAACGTTTCCTTTTTTAATTTACACACAGAAAAATGCACTCACTCTCAGACACAGTTCTGACACATGCCTGAAGGGATGAAGCACCATTGCAGTTAAGATGCAGAGCGGTTCTAGTGCCCCAAAGTGCCCCCTCATGCTGCCACCTAAGTTGTCAACTTCCCCCGCCCCTCGAATTCCAGGTTGTCACTCATCTGTTCTTTGACCCTGAGGTTTTACCTTTTACAGAATGTCTTTTACATAGAATCATATACTTTGTCGCCTTTTGAATCTGGCTTCCCTTGCTTAACTTTCTATATATGGAAACCATTGAGGATGCACGTACCCATAGTTTGTTCTTGGTGAGTAGTATTCTGACTCAGAGACATACCACAGTTTGTTTATCTCTTCATCTGCTGAAGAAAGTTCATCCAGATGACTTCCAGGCTTGACAGTTACTGTAGAGCTGCTGTAAGCATTCCCCACAGCCGTAGGATTCCTGGCTCATAGGCCAAATGTAAGAAACTCTCGCACTGTTTTATAAGAAACTGTCACACTATTTTCCAAGTGGTTGATACTGTGTACTCCCACCCATGTGTACGTCTCCATTGTTCTGCATATTCACCAGCTCGTGTGATTGTCAGTGGTTTTTAGTGCTTCTATTTTAGCCTTTCTAATAGGGGCATAGTAGTATCTCATTTTAGTTTGTACTTTGATTTTCCCTGTTGACCTACGATGTGTTCTATCATTGCAAATGCTTATTTGCCATTTGTAGATCTTGAATGGTTAAGTGTCTGCTCACATCTTTTGCCCATTTTTATGGGATTGTTTGTTGAGTTTTCAGAATTCTTTATACATTTAGATATTTGGAAAGCTGTCCTTTGGCAGATATGTGATTTGTGAATATTTTCTCCCAGTCTGTTGTTTGTCTTTTCACTGGCTTCATTATGTCTTTCATGTAGCAAAACTTTAAAATGTTGTTGATACCCAAATTATATATTTTGTCTTATTTTGTGCTTTTTGAGTTTATGTCTAAAAAAAATTTTGCCTAACTCAAGGTCTCAGAGGATTTCTCCCATATTTTCTTCTAAAAGTTTTATAGTTTTACATTTTATATATAAGTTTGCATGGGTTTTTAGAATCAGCATATCTACAAAATATTTTGCTTGGATTTGATGGAATTTTACTTATAGACAAATTGGGGAGAATTGACTTCTTAACAAGACTCACTTTTTAAACCAGAAACATAGTATATGTCTGTATTTATTTATGGTTTTGGTGTGTGTGTGTGTGTGTGTGTGTGTGTGTGTGTGTGTGTGTGTGTGTTACAAATATCCTACATTTTAGGCTATTTGTAACATAGACACATGCAAACAATGTATCTGGTTTATTTTCTATTTTCTAGTTTTGTAATTCATAAGCTTTCAAGGCTGCAGTTTTACAAATCAAGAAACTATTCTAGAGAGCCTCAGACTGATTTTTTTTTTTACTAAAGTGTTAACAGAACGTTCAGAGCACGAACTACAGTGATCTACCAAAAGAAATCTTACCTACAGTTACTTTAAGTACTTTAAGGAGATATATGAGAGAGAGAAAAATACAACAATAAACTCACCGTTGAAATGGTCTTTCTTCACATTTCAATTGGCTCCCAAATCTGACTACTATTTTTTACTTTGCATAGTCCTTAGGTGGTTTTTAAAAATTCCCTTTAGAATGTTTAGTTGTAATTAGTGGTTTTCCCTCCTATTTGGAGTTGAAAGTGAATTGGTTTGTTTCATAATGTGGGATTGTTAAATGTGAAGGGTATGCTTTCTCTATGAAAGTTCAAAGGATTTGTCTTGGGAAGGTAAAGGCCTAGGAAACAAGGTGGAACACAGAACCACTCTTTTTAAGCCCAGTAATAGTTATTTTATAGATTCATTAGTCTCTCCCATTCTTGACATTGCCATGATGTGTTGCTTAAAAATAAATAAAATGAAAGTTGAAGTGACCGCAGAATCACCAGGGTCTGTCTAAGAGCATGTCTTAGCAGGCATTGCCTTGCTGACAAATAACAGAGATTCGCATATGACACAGGATCTCACAATATTACCTTTTATTGAGCCCAAAAGAAAAAAACAATGCCTATGGCCAAGCACAGCTCAGCTGAGTGATAAACTCCAGTAGCATCCAAATAATATTAGCTCCCCTACATCTTAAGAGAGCTTATTATCAAAGCTTAAGTAGCATTGTCTTCTAGTAGAGATAATAAGCACATTTTCCATTTTATCTCTAAGAATTTGATATCACTAAATGTGTTCTCTCAAGCACAATATAAATGGCTTATTTTATTTATATTCTACATTTTAGGCTATTTGTTACATAGACACATGCAAACAACGTATCTGTTTGTTTTTTTCCCCGTTTTCTAATTTTATAATTCATAAGCCTTCAAGGTTGCTTTCTTACAAATCAAGACACTATTCTAGAGAGCCTCAGACTGTGTTTTTTTTTTTTTACTAAAGCAGAGTGTTGCAGAACCTTCCAGAGCTCGAACTACAGTGATCCTGCCTACAGTTATTTGATATACCCTGAAATTATGCAAATAGAAGTTTGATTCTACAGCTACTCGTTCAGAAGTAGGGTAGGGCTGAATTCTAAATGAGATCAAAATTTGTATATTTGTGAAACCAGGGAAAATACTTAACTTTTTTTTTTCCCCCGCGGCAGAGGGGTTATGCTTTTCCTATGGAAATTGTTCAATGATTTTACGCAGATAATATATTACAAGTCATACTTAAAAATTCTATAACCAAATTAAGATGTACAAATATCAACAAGAGTTGGAAAAAAGTCAGGGACTTCATGGAGATTAAAGTGTATATTTTGTCCTCAAAACTATGCAGAAACATGATACCAGGGTGCTTTTTTAAGCCCTCAGCGAGGGCATTATGAACTGATTTTAAAATAGAATGGTAATTATCCTTTCAAATGAATAGTGGTCCTTTATTTAGTCATCCACATAAGAGTGAGAGCACAATTACATTGGACCCATAGGCTTCTAATGGATGAAACATGTCACAATATATATGTAAATGCTTTATTCATAATCTATAGTGTTTGTAGTTTACACATCCCATTTGCATTATACATTTCATTGTCATCATAATCTGCTGGTAAGGTCAGGCATGTATTAAAAGCCCCATTTAGAGCTAATGGAACCAAAGTGAAAAATGGTATAAATTTCCATCCTAGACACCGCTGAGAGATGCTAGCGCTGAGACTCTAAGGCCCCTGTTCCCTCTGTGACAACAAACTTCCTCAGCAGCAAAAGGCCCAGCCTGCTGATTCGTAATCCTGGGATTAAAGTTCTCACAAAACAGTGTTTGAGAGGATATTGTTTATTATCTGGGAAGCCACATGAGTTCCAGTGTAAATGTCACCTCTCCTGGGAAACTCACTTTCATGAGACCAGTTAGGATTTTCATTGTCAAACTTACCATTACTATGACAATAAATTAACCACTTTTTAGAAGTGTTTTGTCTCACTGGAAAACAACCCTGCATACCCCACTTTGGGAAAGACAAATTAATTATAAAGTAATCACTTCTCTCCCTGGGGAATGTGTAATAAGTTTTATAAGGACATGATCTCTTTACTTCTTTATTTATAGTTCCTACAATAGTGCCTGACACATAGTAGGTACTCAGTCAGAATGGGTTTAATACATTAACATGTGCCTATATACACTGAGTGACCAGATTATTATAATCCCTGAATGCATAATAATGTGGTCACTCAGTGTGTCGTGTGTATGTGTGTGTGTGTGTGTGTGTGTGTGTGTGTGTGTGTGTGTGTATATATATATATATATATATATATATATATATTTTTTTTTTTTTTTAGAGGCCTGGTGCATGAATTCGAGCATGGATGGGGTCTGACCAGCTTGGCCAAGGGGAGGGGACATGGGTGATCGATTGGCCTGCCTGCTGGTCGAACTCCTGGTCAAAGGGGCAATTTGCATATTGGCCTTTTATTATATAGGATATACACTGAGTGGCTAAATTATTATGCATTCAGAGATCATAATAATCTGGCCACTCAGTGTATGTGAATAGTGTATGTGTATAGTATATGTCTGCTGTATGGCTGTATATATTTTCTTTTCTTATGAATATAGAAATGTTTGCCTTTTTCCCCAAGTCCTCTTGGGTACAAAATAAGCATATTTTCTGCTCACTTTTACAGGATTATACGTTGACAATGTATTTTCAACAAGCCTGGAGAGATAAGAGGCTGTCGTATAACGTCATACCTTTAAACTTAACTCTGGACAACCGAGTCGCAGACCAGCTCTGGGTGCCCGACACCTACTTCCTGAATGACAAGAAGTCGTTTGTGCACGGCGTGACCGTCAAGAACCGCATGATCCGCCTGCACCCCGACGGCACGGTCCTCTACGGCCTCAGGTGTGTAGTGTGCCTTGCAGAATGGGACTCTTCCCGAACCGAGCAGCTACTGCTTTCTATCGGAGGGGAACATGTGCTGTTTTCCTTACTCCCTCTTCCAGCCTCCTAAGAAGCAGTTAAACCTCCTATCCCGCCAGACATCTGAGAGCTCAGGGGAGCTTGCTTACAGAGGGACTTAGCCACAGCTAAGACTAAGCATTTTTTTTTTTCTGAATTATATCAGCTGCTGATCCGAAAGCTGCTTTCTTTAAGGAGTAGGGATAAACAATGCCAAAATAGCTGAGACCTAGAGTTCCTTGAGGTGGAGAAAATTGTGAATGCCGAACCCTTGTTTGAATGTGGCAGATGCGCTCTTGTCCATTGGTCCTAAGTTGCACGAACCGGGTCTGGTCCTCTGCTGACTGCAAGGCTTTTTGCATCCTCTCACTCTCCAACGAGGAGTAGACTTGGAGATAAAGTCACGATCTTAGATTTATTATTAATGAATTTAGACTATTAAATGTGCCTTTCGCCAGAAAAGAATGGTGAGGTTCTGCTGTTTGGATGAGGATAAGTTGCAAAATAAGACAGTTTCTTCTTTCGAAGTTTGTTTTGTATTAAAGCAAATAGTTTCTTTAAAAGTAAAGAAAAAAACACTACAGTATAAAGAATTCCTCCGCATTGTAGTGCAAGAAACTCTGACTTGGAAAATGTTCATTTGTCTTTGTTCTAGTCCATTTTCCATAAGTATATAGTCACTTTACCATAGTAATGATGATGATAACAATAGTATTATTTAGTCAACACTTGTTAGAAGTCAGCTAAGCACTTCCCATACATTAATATAGTCAATGTTTACAACAACCTCATAAGTTAGAATCTTATAATCTTTATTTTTAAATAAAGAATCTGAGGCTTATGGAACTTTCTAAGATCACGAAGAGTGTAAATTGAGAGAATGGGATTCAAAACTTCCCATTTCAGAGCCAGAGCTCTGAACAAATACACAGGGATAGCTCTGATTGATTTTTCTTACCTGGCATATCTCATTTTCATTACCTACTCTGTTCAGCATGCCAGATGAATACATTGTTTAGATCCTTATAAACTGGCTTCTTTTGCATGTCTGTAGAGAAAATGACCTTTTGACTGTGGAGAGAGGGAGAGTATGAGGCAGGGAGAGAGCATGTCTGTATCCTATGTTAGCCTCTGAAGGTAAAGAGATGAATTGGAAATTTATAAATGTCTCATTTCCGTCTTTACCTGCACTCTAGATAAACCTAGTCAAGGTTGTCAATACATTCTAAATGCACAGATGCAATGCTGAATGGATGGGAAATCAGCAATCACCATGCCTTGGGAATTGAGGGAGGAAAGAGAGGCCCAATATAGATGATAAATATGTGTTCTTTATATTGTAAGCCAATAATCAGACAAAGAAAACTGATGATTGTTTGTTCTTATCATTAAGAGGCGCTGAAAGTAAGAGCTGTAGTTCAGACTCACAACAGGAGGGAGTCATCACTCTCCCCTCCTCACTCCTAACAAGGGCTGCTGGCAAAGTAGGCAGGTTCTTAAAAGCTCCAGGCATGCATAAAATCAGGTCTTCTGCCCAAGAAGGCTCTGAATGTGATGGTTTTATCAGTTGTATTATTAATTTTGAATTTGAAGTTGATAAGGTTTTTCAGGGAATTTATAAAAGTCCCATTCCAGTTTCAATTGATAGACAGAACAGTTTGTTTCATGGCTAGAAATTGAATGCATATTATACATTTTTTTTCTCAGCTCCAGGAAGTTCATTTGTGATAAATAAATAAAAGAAATTCAATTAAACTTACCCCTGCCATGGTTGATTCTGTTTACCCACCTCCCACCCCAGTCATTCTCTATTATTGATAGTCTAGTAAGAAATATATATTTGTGGCATGAACTCTGTCATTTCCATTTCAAAAACATTGTATAGTTTCTCTTAAACTGAGCCTTTCCTTTTATTCTCATCATGTCTTATCACTCTTCCATTTTCTGAACTGATTTGAAGAGCTGCAGGATACAGAAACAATTTTTTAAAAGTTATGAATAATGCTTTTTTGAAGCTTAAATTTATAGCTTGTGGCTAAATAATCATGAAACTCTTGAATATAGATCCTCCCTTCACTCTTGGCTGGTTGATAGTTCAGTTGTACCAATTTGATCTTAAAATCAAATACCTCCTGTCTTTTATGATCCTATTTAGAGATTTCTTTTAAGAGCTATGGTTTAAGTGGGAAGAATATTTTCTTGGGAATAACCTAGCTGTAGCTGGTGACAAAGGACTTTTTAATTCACCAGACTGAAGAATTCCTCGCCATCTATAAAGCAAATATTTCAAACAGGTCAACTATCTTTTATTTTAAAATAAAATCATTGCAGTCAAATTATTTTCAGAACACTTCCTTGAAGTATTCTGAAACACATAAAAATATAGATGGTTGTTGTTAGTGTTTGTTTCTTTTGTGGTTTTTGTTTTGTTTTTATTAATGAGCTCAGCTAAAGTACTAGCAGGTAAAAAATCAGGTTTAATCTATTATTTATATGACATCATAAAGGATGTTACATAAATGTAAATCAGACCATTATTGACTTTGAAAAAGGAAAGTATCTGTTAGATTTCAAAAAGATAATGAATAATTGCATTCAACAGAGAATCAAGAGACCTGCATCATATTCTAGTCTTAAAATTAGTGTTTCTTACGTAAATCAGTTCTAAATTTTATTCCAGCTCCAAAAATCCCATATTCATGTGATTTTGCTAACGTGTGGCATAAATATTTTTAGGACTTTACTTCATTATGCATATGGCTGGCAAAGCTTTACATAATATTTGGTGCTTTAGAAATTGCATTTATCTCCTTGAAAAAAATCTTATCTTATTAATTAGGAAAGTAAAAATAAAATCATAGCATTCAGGTAAGCAAGAAAGCCTGAATTGTCTACTTTGACATCTCTTATGTGCATAACAATGTATATTTTTATTAAAACTAGAATCTGAACTCAAATGGACTGCATATTATTTATGGCAAGTGATTGACATTATATCATAAGCATGCTTTCACATTAAAAAATCTTCAACAAACATAATTAAGACAAAACTCCTTTTCTATGATGAGATGATGCGTATTTAATATTAAAAATTTAGAAAATTCAGATAGGTTATGTATAAAATTACCCTTCATTCTACCACCCAGAATTAATCATTAACCTGTACCTTGCTATATACTCCTCCAGATATTTTTCCTAGTTAAAAAAGCATATAGGCAGCTTTTCATAAAAAGAATTCACATTATTTTTCTTAATTATTTTATTTAATAATGAATCCTATATAATACAAGGGTAAGAAGCAAATCAACCAAATGGCAGAATGACTGGTCACTATGATGTGCACTGACCACAAGGGGGCAGATGCTCAATGCAAGAGCTGCCCCCTGGTGATCAGTGTGCTCCCACAGGAGGAGCGCAGCTCAGCTCAGCCAGAGCCCAGAAGCCAGTTCATGGCTGGTGAATGCAGCTTGTGGTGGTAGCCTCACCACCTCCCCAGCAGCTCTAAGGATGTCCAACTGCCGACTTAGGCCTTCTCCCATTGGGGAGTGGGCCTAAGCCATCAGTGGGACATCCCCTGAGGGCTCCCAGACTGCCAGAGTACACAGGCCAGGCTGAGGGACCCCCTTTCCCCCGCCAAGTACATGAATCTTGTGCCTGGGTCTCTAGTGTATTATAAATATGATTACCATGTGAATACATCCCTTCTCACTATCAATCTTTAACTATTATAACACATATTTGGGATATAATTTTTTATTTAATATAGTATATGGCTTATGGTTTTGAGATAAGGCACAATATGTGGTTGTTGCAATAAAATGCAAGACTACTATTTAAAAGTTACTTAATATTTTTGCAACCAAGTTGTCTGTGGCACAATTTATACTCTTACAGTTGTGCCGTTGCAATTTGTAGTCTCATTGGTTCAGTAAATGGCCCAGGAGATGTACCGATGTGGATTTTACTAGGACATTTCTTGTGGACGGAATGACTTCCTTACTCTTTCAGTAGTCGCTGACCTATCTAAAAATAGCTCTTTGTCATTTGGTGTGAGGAGGGAGCCCTTGACTTCCTATGTCTGTATACCTCCCATATGTAACATTAGATCAGAAAGATGTCACTTCTGATTAAAGGTTCACATTCTTGAAGAAAGATTCAGCAGGAAGCAGAAGGCAATTCAGCCACCTCCTGCTATGCATGTTCTGTCATTGGGAAAATGGCAAAGGATAATGTTAGCCTGTAATGAATTTAGACAAGCAGGATTATTAATTTTATCTTCCTCTTCTACTCCTGAAGCTTTACCACAGGATGTTAGGCAAGTGAATACCTGAGCAGCCATTCCCTGTGGAAATGTAGCCTATCCAATATTAACGTATCATATTTTACCTCAGATTTCCTCATTGGTTTAATTCATTTTCACAGAAATGTTGTTCAGTGAATGTAGTTTTTCAAGCAGAAAACAGATATTTTTTTTAGAATACCAGTCCCTCTGGCCAGAGCATTTGACCCTGTTCTGCAGATATTCTCAGTTCTTCTATGCAGGAAAAAAATCATCTTCATGTATCTCCACCTCTGGAGGAGAAGATGCATATAATATAGTTTCATAAAATACATCCTCTTTAAAGAGCTGTCAGCAATTTTTCAAAGAACATTTTTTTGACCATCATTTTTCCCTATAAGAGAAAATTTAGGTTTTTAAAAATGCATTTAGAAGTAACTTTTGACATCTTCAAGTTTATCTTTTAAAAAATGATTTTAGAGAGGAAGAGAAAAATATTGATGTCAGAGAGAAACATCAATCGATTGCTTCCTACAGGCACCCAACCAAGGACAGAGCTCACAACCTATGTGCTCTGACCAGGAACCAAACCTGCATAGGACAATGCTCCAACCAACTGAGCTACACTGGCCAGGGCTCATCTTCTCCTTTTTATAAAAGGGAA